ATTTCTTGGAAAATTCATAAAATTTTATTTAACTAAAAAAAATATCCAATTAATCTTACGCTCGTGAAAGTTTCCAAAGATAAACTCGTGATTCTTCCTGCCGTGATCATGACTTGTTTTTGAGATCTCATTATTATGAATGTTAAAGTTCTTTTTTGATTTGTCAGTAAATCGTACCACAGTGATTCATATACTGCATTAGCGATTGATTTACTCTGAAAATAATGACATTAAAATAACTAATAATATAGCAATGAGGAGTTAATAACTCTTCCTCATTAAAATAAATATTATGAAAAAGTTTTTTTTGTATAAATGTCAAAGTTTCCTTCATTTACTTATTATTGTAAATTGATAAATAAAAAAATTTAAAAATATTTATGTATAAGAATGATATACCGTTTATTATAGAAGATAAAAGCAATAAAGCTAAGTAGTATTGTACACATACGATAATATGTCAGACATAACAAAATGAAACAAAAAAAGACAAATGGTTAACTAATCAGAACAATTATATTGTTTCGTAACTGAGTTACACAAGCAATGTAAAAGTCATTTTATGCTAACTTAAATAAAATGTATTTTGACAATATAATTTTTTGTTATTCAGTATAAAAATTAACTTAGTAATACATTAAATTTTTAGCCGTTAATATTACTAGAATATTATCACAGTAGTGCACAAATATTTCTGCAATAAATTTTCGCAGAAAATTTAACAATGCAGCAATATTATTTATATAGCAGAAGGATTAGCATGTAATATTATTGCAATTTTGAAATATTACTACAATATTGTTACAATATTGCAAGTTGTGTGGAGCTTCGATACTTCTTTGCTCACATGTCTATAGAATTTTGCGTTAATAAGTTCATCAATTTTTTCAAGAAAATACATATATTCGAGAACACGACGTGATACATGCGTCACTCGAGCGCTTGCCTCGTAATTTAAGGGCACAATTTAAATTTAAATTTAAATTTAATTCAAATTAAGATACACCCTTCGTATATATTATCGATGTTATGTCTTTATTTAATAAATATTTTATCTACTAATCATATTAAATTAAATGTCATACTTGGCAGATAATTTTCACATGCTTACTAACCTTGAAATTCAGATATTCTCCTGCAAAGCATAACACGAAAACTTCCATTATTATAGCAAGATAGGTGAAAATAATTTTTACTATTGTAATGCCACCAGTCTCGATATAAAATGACTATTTCAATAAACAATTAGAACAAATTAATTTAATGTAATATTGATCACAAAACATTTAAAATGCAGTACTCACAATTATAATAATAAATCCTAGACTGCATATTATGAAAGTATTCCAGACAACTTGCATTAATGCAATAAAGGAAAAAAGTTTCTCAATTTTGTCACAAAACAAGAAAATTCTGTTGTGCCTTTCAATTAGTATAGCCAATGCAGATGTACAAGTTTTATGAGGAAAAACTTTTGTAGAAATATTTTTAAATTCTTGACATAATATATCAATTTGTCCACTTACGTGAAACACCTACAAATATACATATTCTTAAGTTTCTACATGTTCCAACTATTAGAAATACTTATGTAAACATTTACTCGTTATAAAGAAAAACAGAATACAAAATATAGATTGCTTATAAGTAGTATTCAATTAACTAATTATTACATTTATTTAACAGTGATATAAAACCTTGATTATATCAAATTAAGTTTGTGTAACATAACATATATAACGAGTATAATAATTCGTGTACAATTAAATTTTATAAGTCAAGAAAAATATAATTTTAATAATTAAATTATATTTTTTATGACAATGCTGATGTCACAACCATTAAACAACTTTGTTTAAAAAAAATAATATTTATACAGTATTTATACTTACAAGAGCAGAAATTAATGCATTTATAATAAAGAGAGTCCACCCAATTAACATCACATGTACAAATTGAATTACGACCAGCAGCTCAAAAATTGGTGACTGTGGAGTTTTAAAGGGAATTTGTACCCTAATGGGAAGCTCCCGCAAGGTATCATTGTAATCTCCGGACGAATATACAAAACGAACTGCGTAACCGTAACTCAAAAAGTACAACACCGTAGCAATTGTATTAATGCTAAACATAATATTAGAACAAAACTGCGATTTATTAGCTTTGATTGTCATTACATACAAATGTTGATTAATATTGACGCTCTCTCGCCAGTCTTTATCCATAATAGTTAGAAGCTGATGAATGATTCTGTATAATACGTTATTCTAATTGGATCGATTATAAGACACATTTCGTTTATATGTGATCTAATCGATAATATATATGAATAATAAGAAACTAATACATTTATAAAAATAGCATATTACTTGATTTAAATAAATAATGACTATAATGATGTATTTAAATTTTTAGTGAATAAATATATTATACGATTTAAGAAATTAAAAATCAAGATATCAAATTTACTTAATTCAAACAAATTTTTTATGCGTATACTAATAACTAATAAATATTATGTTTTCTCAACTAGATGGAAGAAGCTAACGTTTGCAGCTATACATCTTACCGACGATGTATCCAAAGAGTGATTACTTTAATCATTGTTAAACTGTAATCTAAAGCCGCGGGTAGACTATCAACGAGATTTGAAAGCTCGCTGATCTTGAAGTGCTTGAATACGTATTGATATTGGAAGTACTGTACAATGAGTATGCTGAATACATAAATTAGCCAATATGGGATGCAATACGACACACCCGGCCACACACCAAGCAATCGAAGACCGATCTTCAGCAACGGACTCACAGTACTCGTTATTATCATTCGTAATCAATATTGAAAACACGAGGAAATAAAGATCAATGTCGGCACATTTATCTGGCACTTCGGTTTAAGAAAGAACTAAAAGTGCACTGACGGTTTTTTCAAATGCAACCCCGTGCAGTCTATCCCCACCCTCGTAAGTATGGATCAATCGTCATTATACATGGCATATAACATCAAATCGAAGTAGAACTCACTTTTATATGGACATTTCATAATTTTCTATTGATAGTCTAAGAACATTGATATTCTAATATCCATAATAATAAAGTAACAAAGAACTTGTCCGCTAAATTTATAATTTGATGTGTAATTGTCAATTCCTTTTTTTACAAATTTATCTCTTAGCAGCATTTCTTCGAAAAATAAATGAATGTTCACTACGTTCTGTACATGCACATCAAAAGTCATTAAACTTATAGCAGAACGACAACAATTATGTATTCTATGCAAATGAAACTGAATTATTGTATATACATGGCGTTCAATTTCTAGTCTTCAATGAAATAAAGAGGAGAACAACAGAGCAAGGGCGAAATAACAAATATTCCTTAATGCTTCTAAGAATGATATTATGCATCCTCACTTAAACAAGATATTTTAAAATTTTAAAAATTGTTCGGTTGAAGACGTCATAAATATTTAGTTTTAAGTATGTCTACATTCAACAGAGTACGTGTCTATATGTTATTTTTTAATAAAGAGTCAATGCGAGAATATCCAATACTGTTCGCAGAAATATCCCTTTTCCTGCAATAAAATTTGAGTTACTAAATCCATAATCGAATTGTTACCTTTTTTCCGTGATTCTGATTGGTTTTTTTCTGATTGTGTTTTTGCGAAATTAATTCTCAATACATGATGTTTTAACAACTCACAAAAATTAAATTATTATGAGTGTATAAATATATAATATTAAAAGTTAAATGACGTGCACGTAGCGCGCGTCTGTTGTTTAATAAGTAAAAATATGCAACGTAATGTAATAATATTAAGTAAACAAAAATTATTTTTATATTAGTTGTTTTACATTAAAGGTATTTTTTAATTTATTTACTGATAATTAACAAATAACAGATATTAACTGTTAATTAACAATTTAATTCTCAATCAATGAAAAGTCGTACGTTCATTGGCAGGGTTGAGGAGGGTGGACCATGCTTCGCTCGTAAAATCATCATGCCTCTTAAACAAAGATAGGTACGAAGTATAGTATTTAAGGGAATCCTAAAGCCGTCTGTATTATCTATCTAAATCATAATTTTTGTATAACATTTACGTTTTTTTCTTTTTTACAGATTCGAAAATCCTTTTCCAGGATTAAACTATACACATTAATACGTCTGTGAGATGAAGTTTGTGCCAAGAACGACAAAAAATTTCGAAATTGAAAAGAAAGAAAAACTTTTTGTCATTTTCGACATAAACTTCATTTCCCAGACACATACTAATAAGTATAGTTTAATCCTGGAAAAAATTTTTCAAATCTGTAAAAGAGAAAAATAAGTGTTATGCAAAAATTATGATTTAATCGATAATACGAACGGCTTTAAAATCCCTTTTTTGAATTTTATCTCATAAAAATAAATAAAAAATCGAAATGACTCATAAAAATCAAATGTTTTACGAACATGTTATTTATTTTTGAAATATAAGATTTTCAAGTATATTCTCAGAAAATATGCATAAGAAACTCAAAATATTAAAATCAGCTAGACGTATTATAGAAGTTCAATTATATATAAACATAAACATACGGATGTGATAACATAAATTACACGTGCTCATCTAAAATAAAGTCTCGATATTTGATTCTATCAATCCAAAGAAAAGGTACATTCCTTTTTTTCTATTTCTTATTTTCTTCTTTCTAAGTAAGAAAATATTTTATCATGCAAGGTTAAACGTAAGAAAATAACAAACATTTAGATTTAAATTATAAATTAAATATAAATATAAATTGTATTATACAATCTACAAATTTATAAATTTTAAACCGTCATAAATTTTCTAGATTTACAATCTAAAGATCTATAAATCTTAAAACAGCATAAATACTTAACACTTAATTTATCGAAAGCAATTTATAATAATATAATAATTCTCTATATTAACATGTTATATTAATAATACTACAAACGTCACGATTTCAACTAAATCATTATTTGTTAACATCAATACATCGCATGTAAAACAGATACATATGATGCTGACGCTTTTAAGATCTAAAAAGAATTTTAAAAATTAATTTACTAAGATGTATATCTTGGAAAATGCATAAAACTTTATTTAACTAAAAAAAATATCCAATTAATCTTACGCTCGTGAAAGTTTCCAATGTTAAACTCATGATTCTTCCTGCCGTGATCGTGACTTGTTTTTGAGATCTCATTATTACGAATGTTATAATTTTCTTTTGATTTGATAGTAAATCGTACCACAGTGATTCATATGCTGCATTGGCGATTAATTTACTCTGAAAATAATAATATAAAAAATAACTAATATATAATATAATATAAAATAATAATAATTCTTTCTCATTGACAAATATTGTGTAAAAGTTTCCTTTATTTAAATGTCAAAGTTTCTTTAATTTTTTTATTATGTCAATTGATAAGTAAAAAAATTTGGAAAAGTTTATTTATAAGAAAAATATACTGTTTCTTATAGGAAATAAAACCAACGAAGTTAAGTAGCATTGAAAGCATGCAATCATATAAAATCAGAAATAATGGAATAGAACAAAAATGACAAATGGTACAGGTTAACCAATCAGAAAATTACGTTGTTTTGTAACTGAATTACTCATGACAAATGCGGAACGGAAAGACCTTAATGACGTACAATAGAATGTTACATCAATCAGCATAGAATTAATTACAGTATATCTACAAAATATTAAATACTTAAACAATTAATGATATATTATTTATATATTATTAGGAGCAATTAAATTTTAGTCATTGTGATTGGTTCTTAAAGCAGTATCAAATGGATCAACCTTGCTATGCAAACATAGATGTTAATTTAATATTTATGGATACAATGAAGAAAACATTTTTATAATAGATTAAATAAATATTTATCATTAATAAATTTTATTAATCTTTTATTAATAAATATAATTATTACAGAAAATAAGATTGAAAATATTAATTATGTTAAAGAATGACTGGATAAAGACTTGATTAAAGTGATAAAAAGAAGATTTGCACTTTAGGATTATATTAACATTACTAAATACCTAATGTTTTGTATAGATAATTATTACTTTATCATGAGTGATTGATATGAGATCTTATATAAACAAAATGTTACGGTTATCACATCAGAAAAAATGATAATTTTCGCCTATCAATACATTTGGTTGTGATAACTGTAAGATGTACATAGACATTCATTCTATAATTCTTGCAACTAAAATATGTATCGGGAACTTTTGGCAACTGTAACCCTTCTTTCTGTGTAAATTATGTATTTCGCGTTCTATTCCATAAATATACTTCTCATGTAAAATTCAATTATAAAAAAACAATGTAACGAAGTTGTTCTGATAAATTAATTCCTACCATTTGTCTTCTCCATTTTCATTTCTTTCCGCTATTTCTGATTCCATGTAACTCTAATACTTTTAGAATTTTTTCAAAGAAGTACACATTCCAAAACACGACGTGATGCATCGAACTTGGGCTCGCTTCGTTAGATACACAAGTTAACATTTAAGTTCAAATTTAAATTAAATTTAAATTAAGATACACTCCTTGTATATTACATATCTTTATTTAATAAATATTTATAATCATAATATTATATAATCATATTAAATTAAATATGTCATACTTACAGATAATTTGCACATGCTTACTAACCTTGAAATTCAGATATTCTCCTGCAAAGCATAAGATGAAAACTTCCACTATTACAGCAAGATAAGTGAAAATAGTTTTTATTATTGTAATAACACCAGTCTCAACATAAAGTGACTATTTCGGTAAACAAATAAAATAAATTAACTATAATATTGATCATAAGACATTTAAAGTGCAGTACTCACAATTATAATAATAAATCCTAAACTGCATATGATAAAAGTATTCCAAATAACTTGCATTAACGCAATAAACGAGAAAAGTTTCTCAATTTTGTCAGAAAACAAAAAAATTCTGTTGTGTCTTTCAATCAATAAAGCTAATGTAGATGTAGAAGTTTTATGAGGAAGAATTTTTGCAGAAAGATTTTTAAATTCTTGACATAATATATCAATTTGTGCACTTACGTGGAACACCTACAAATATACGTACACTTACATTTCTATAAATATTCCAACTATTAGAAATATTTTTGTAAACAGCTACTCGGTATAGAGAAAAACAGAATTTAACATGCAGATTGCTTATAAATAATATACAATTAACTAATTATTACATTTATTTAACAGTGATATAAAATCTTATATCAATTAAATATGTATAACGTAATCTGTATAACGAGTGTTATAAAATTCGTGTATATAATTAAATCTTGTACATATTAAGAAAAGTGTAATTTCATAATTAAATTTTATTTTTTATGTCAATACTGATATCACAAGTCATTAAACAACTTTTTTTTAAATAAAATAACATTTATTAGATGAAACTTACTAGAGTAGAAATTAATGCGTTTAGAATAGAGAGCGTGCATGAATTTAACGTCACATGTAGAAATAGAATTATGGCCAACAGTTCAAAAATTGGTGATTGTTGAGTTTCAAAGGGAAATTGTACCTTGATGGGTAACTGTCGCAAGGTATCATTATTGTAATCTCCGGACAGATAAATAAAACGAATTGCGTAACCGCTTAAGAGGTAAGACACCAAAGCAATAGTATTAATACTAAACATAATATTAGAACAAAAACGTGATGTATTGGCTTTGACTGTCATTACATACAAATGATAATCAATATTGACGCACTCTTGCCAGTCTTTATCCATAGCGGTTAGAAGCTGATGAATGACTCTGTATAATGTGTTATTCTAATTGGACCGATTATAAAACATGTTTCGTTTATATAAGATCTGATAATATATATAATGTATAATAAGAAACTAATGCATACATACGAATAACATATTATTCGATTTAAATGAATATTTATTATAACAATAATGATATATTCAATTTTAAATTAATAAAAATATAAATTTTATATTAATAAAAATATGATTTAAAAAATTAAAAATTAAGTTATTAAATTTATTTAACAAATTTTTTATACATATAGTACTACCTAATAGTACTAACTAATAGTACTAACTAATAGTTTTATGTTTAAAACTAAACGGAAGAAGCTAACGTTTACGACACTTCTTACCGACGATGTATCCAAAGACTGGTTACTTTGAGAATTGTTAAGCTGTAATCTAAAGCCGCGGGTAAGCTATCGACGAGATTCGAAATCTCGCTGATCTTGAAGTGCTCGAATACGTATCGATATTGGAAGTACTGTACAATCAGTATGCTAAATATATAAATTAGCCAATATGGGATGGAATGTGACTTGCCCGGCCACACACCAAACACCTGAAGACCAATCTTCAGCACTGGACTGACAGTACTCGTAACTATCATTTGTAATTGTATTGAGAACACGAGGAAATAAAGATTAGTGTCGGCGTTTGTCCAGTACTCTAGTTTAAGAAAGAATTGAAAAAGCACTGACAATTTCTTCAATTGCAACCCTACGCAGTCGATCCCCACTCACGTAAACATGGATCAATCGCGATTATATATTGCGTACAACAGTAAATGAAGATAGAGCCTCATTATTTGTATGGACATCTTATAATTTTCTGTTGATAATCTAACGTAGTCTAATATTCATAAAGAAACAAAGACATCGGATGTAATCGTGTACTATTCAATTCGTATAATTATCAGTTCCATTCTTTTTACAATCTTGTATCTTAGCAACGTGAATCCATCGAAAAATATATGTCCATTAGTACGTACGTAGCAAAATCAAACTTCTAGCAAAACGACAGTAATTATATGTTTGTATTCTGTAGCGAACGGAACTAAATTATGTTCGTTCAATTCACTTCTGGTCTTTAAAAAAATAATGTGAGGGGAGAACAACAGAATAGGGATATAACGAATAATACCCCTTAATGATTTTAGGAAACATGTTATTATGCATCCTCTTGAGGAAAATATTTCAAAATTATTCAATTGGAAACGTTCATTTAGTTTCAAATACGCTTATATGTACTGAATACACGATTTTCTAATATAGAGTCAATGGCCGAATACATCCAACGATTTCTGTAGAAATATTCTTTTAAGTAAAAATACATACGTATAACATAATGATAATAATATAAATCAGCAAAAATTATTCAATTTTATATTGATTGCTTCATATTAAAGATAATTTTAAATTTAAGTAATTAATTCATTCTGATAATTATACAAATAAGAGAAAATATCTATTAATAACAATTTAAATCCAAATTATTTAGCAATATTTTTTATTCATTAGCTTACTTCATTAATTTCAATAAATGTCCATTTTGTTTAAGTTAATATAAAGCAATTTTGTTTAAGTTAATATAAAAGTTAATATAAAACATTTATGACAGATACACAACGACAGTGTCCAGAATAACCGTCAAATATTTCATACGCTTATAGAGCGGATTAAACTAAGTCAAAAAGTCCTCTACTATTTTGCAATTTTCGCAATAGTTAACAAAATATAAATTACTAAAAATCGCCAAATATTGATCTTTAATAATTTTTTACAATATAGTTTTTTCAAGTACAGAATCATCAATTTTACAGAAAAATAGAGATAAAAATTGTTTATTTTCTTCAGTTTAAAGCTCTAAGAATTTTTTAAGAATTTTTTATCAACTTTTTATACTGTATTTTTTTATATGTATAGCAACTATTTTTACCAACATGAGAAAATGCGGTAGTAAAGAATTTTGAAAAAAATTTTCATGAAAAGAAAATAAATAATTTTTGTCTCTTGCTGTTTTTCTGTAAAGTTAATAGTACTTGAGAGGAAGAAAATAAAATTAAAAATATTTCACAATATAAAATATTTTATATAGTCATCTACATTTCTGTCTTTAGAAATCACGTAATAAAATATAAATAAATATATTAAAATTTTAATAACTTTTTGCTGCAGCAGAGATGTCAACATTATATTTAAAAGTATATAACATATCTATTTATGAAATAATAATGGTTTAAGAATAAAAACATTCTTACTTAAAATATTAGTTGTTTTAAATAATGTGTTTTGTATTACAATATATTAAAATATAATATTTCAAAAAAAATATTTCATCATAACTCCATGTATTTCATCAATATTCCACCATGACCATGTGTTTGATCAAATAATTACATATAAACGTCAAAAAATTTTTATATTTATGATTTACTATTTTTTTTATATATTTACATAAATACTTACTTTGTAACTAAGATGTTCCCCGGCAAAACAAATGATGGAAGTTTCAGTCATTACAGCGATGTAAGCATGAACGGTTTTCGCTAACATGAAAACATCAGTTTCATTATGGATAGCCTAATACAATGAACAATAAAACGAAAAATAAATGATATATAAGATAGTCAACGCATATTTATTACACAATTTACAATTACAATGAAAAATCCCAGACCAAAAATCTTATTTAAAAAATAACTAACGTATTCCAAATAACTTCTATTAACGCAATAAAGAAAAATTTTTCGATTTTCTCGAAAAATGAAAATAATTCTATGGTGTCTCTCGACATTTCAAATATAGATACGGAAAAAAAGCATTCTTAAAGATATTTTGAAACTAATAACACATTATATCAATTATATCTGCTCACGTGTCCACTTACGTGTTTGCTTACGAATCTTAAAATATATACTTACGTTTTTGCGAAAATTGTAATTATTTGAGAATGTTATTATTATATATATGAGCAATGTGTTTCAAATATAATAATGATAATATATAAATTTTTATTGAGTATATTATTTGAATTTCTTTTTATATAAACATCCGTTAAAAATATAAAATGGTAATCACCTAAGAGATAAATTACTGAATTTGCTGCGATAATAATAAAGCGTTAGAAATAAAATGCGATATATATTAGCTTTAATTGTCATCATATACAAATGCTGATCGATGTTACACTTGTGCCAGTCATTATCCATAATTGCCAGGATTTTATGAAAAACTCTGCAATATATTATTAATTTGTCAGGTAACAAATGAGAAAACATTTCATGCGAAACCAATATACTGATGATTTAAGTGTGATATTGGTGCATTTTTTATTAGAAAAAAATCTGGTTATTATTATCATAAACTTATAAATTCTAGTTTTTTGCAATTCTAGTTTTCTACACATAAATTCAACGATTTTAAATAAAGTTAATATTACATACGCTACGTGATATCTTACTGACAATATGTAGATACACCATTGGCCAATTTGTTAAATTGTAATCTAAAGTTAAAGACAAATCATTAACAAGATTCGAAAGTTCGCTGATCTTGAAGTGTTTAAGTATGTGTAAGTAATGAAAATACTGTACAATAAGTATACTCAATATGAAAATCAGTCAATGAAAGATGGAATGCGACACATCTGGCCATACACTAAACAACCGAAAGTCGATTTTCGGAACCAGATTGACCTTACCAGAGGTATTTTTGGCTATCATTCGTAAATAAATTGAAAAAAGCAAGAATAGAGCTTAGCACATTTATCCGCTGTGACTATGAGAAAAAACTGATATGATACTAACAGTTTTTCCAAGAGTGTCCCCATGCGCACGCATATACCCCCACTCATATAAATATGAATCAATTGCTATTATTGTGTAGTGTTATATCAATTCGAAGAAGCAATTTATAGAATTATCTTACACAAACAGTTTATATTCCTCTTACAGTTTCATAATACATACCTTGACTATGAAATAATAAGAAATATCGTGCATTATTTTTTCCCGCTAATACAATGTCATCAACAAAAAAAATTGATGTGCATTATTTTCTAAATATTGCCATTACTTGAAATACATAGAACATAGAATTGAAAGTTCATAATTACATGTTAGGTTTTCTCGATGATGGAAATTAATTGTATTCATGGCATTGATCATGAATTTTTAAAAAGCCAAGAGAGAAAAAATCGTTATATGTTCTTCTGACATATTAAACTGTAACATCATAATGATGGGTATAATTCCTTCTACTAACGTAAATAATGAATATTCTTAGAATACATTTACAAAGGAAGCTGAAAAAATTTTAAATAAACTGGACATATTATATTGTAGAAGTATGATTTTATAAAAATACAAACGAATAAATATGCCGACATAAATTGCTCATGTTCAAATCTACTAAAATAAAGTTTCGATATTTAATACGACATAATAAAAAATTTTTAACATTAAAATACCGTTTATCCAGATAAACTTTAGAACGTTAAAATTATCTTCTTCTTAAAACTAATTATAAGAAAAGGATAACGTGACTTTAGCGTACACTGTATCTGAATTCACGTTATTGCAAAAACTCCCTATTGCTTTTTTCTATTTCTCTTTCTTTTCTATATATATATATATATATATATATATATATAGAAAATACACAAGCTACACAAATTATAATAACGATTTTATATTCAAAGAGAAAAAATTTGTTGAGTATTATCGTATTTCAGAAAAAAAAAGTTAAAATATCTGTGTTATATATGTGTTATATTTTAAGACTTCTTATGTAGAAATGTGTCAATTTGTATACAACAAAATCCTGGAAATTATTTAACATGAATTTTAATGTAACAGTAATCATAGTTGTAATTCTGTATCACAAATTGCTATGTTATATAAAAATTAATAAAAAATGTGTTAAATATAAGAATTATCAAAGCAAGAATAAATTTCAAATATTAAAGTGTATAGACCTGTAATGTCACATGTAAACAAATATTGTTACAACAAGAAGCTCAAATCATATAATATATGGGCAATTTTATTAAGTTCAAAGGAAAATGTATCTTTATAGAAAACTGCTCTAATGTTACGTTGTATAATAATATGTTCGGTTAAAAATATAAAACAAATTATGTAAATGCCAAAGACTAAAAATATTAATGTAATTTTTAATAATAATTTCTTTATATTAACATCATTTATATTAATAATGCAACATAATGCTAATAATTTCTTCAAATTTATCCGTTAATAATGTCAATACATCGCGTGTAAGACAGATACATATGATGCTGATGCTTTCATTATCTAAAAAAAATTTAAGAAATTTATTTTTAAACATATCTGTACCCATATACTTTTATTGTTAAATGTTAAAATTTTTATTTAATCGTTTAGAAAGTTATTCTGAAATCTTACACTCGTAAAAGTTTCCAAAGATAAATTTGTAATTTTTCCTGCCGTAATTACAAGTTGCTTTTGAGATCTCAGTATTATAAATGGTATAATCTTTTTGTTATTTGACGATAAATCATACCAAAATGACCCATATGCTGCATCAGCAATTGATTTACTCTGAAAATAATGGAAAAGGTATAATTAATTACAAATCGACATTTCTCATATTTTATTATATTGAAGTATTCCTTGTATAAATAATATCAATAGAATTATTTTTACAAAAATTTTAATTCTCTTATTATTGCACAAAAATTTTTTAAAATAAAAGTAAAAATGATATTTATTATATATTATGTAAGATAGAAGCAGTGTGTGTATGTGTGTGCTATAAAATAGTATTTTAAAACATTTAGAAAACAATTATAAATAACAATATATGTATATTATAAAGGGATTCACTTACATATATCTTTCTGTTTTTAAAAAAGAAGAAGCCTTATACATAATAAATGACTAATTAATTAGCATTACTAGACTTATATACATATATATATGTATATTAATTAGCATTACTGGACTTATATACATATACATATGTATATAAGTCTAGTAATGCTAATTAATTAATCATTTATTATGTATAAGGTTTCTTCTTTTTTAAAAACAGAAAGATATTCTTTTTTTAAATAATAAATACATTTTTTAAATATAAAATAATACAGAAATTATATATATATATATATATATATATATATATATATAATTTCTGTATTATTTTATATTTAAAAAATGTATTTATTATTTCATATGTCATTATTATATACTTATATAAATATTATATTTATATATATATATAGATAGTAATGTTTTTATCATATAGATAAATATTTCACTATAATCATATTACATTAATGAATGACTCTCAGTTAACAATTTCCAAATACTTACTAACCTTAAGATTAAGATATTCTCCAGCAAAGCATAAAATAAAAATTTCCACTATGACAGCAAGATAAGAAAAAACGGATTTTATTATTACGCTGACACCGGTCTCAATATGAAACGACTATTTTAGTAAACAATAAAATCAAGTAAATTAAGTATAATGTTAATTGCAATATCGTTTTTTTGTACTCACAATTATGATAATAAATACCAGACCGCAAATGACTAAAGTGTTCCAAACGACTTGCATTAAAGCAATAAAGGAGAAAAGGTTTTCAATGTTGTCAGAAAACCAGAAAACTCTGTTGTGCCTCTCAATCAATATATCTAACATAGATGTGGAAGTTTTATAACGAAGAGTTTTTGCAGAAATAATTTTGAATTCTTGACACAGTATATCGATTTGTCCACTTATGTGAAGCACCTAAAATGTTAAAACTTCTGAAAAGATTTCAAGTATTAAAAACATTACATAAGTACATGCAGAAATGCTCGGTATAAAGAAAAAATCGAATAAAACGTAGTGCACTCATAATATTCAAACAATTAATTATTGAAATTTATCAACGCGTTATAAAATCTTATTATATTATCAAATTAAGTATGTATTATATAATATATAAAACTAAATATTATCAAACAAGGAGTAATTTCTAAATTTAAACTTTATTCTAAAATTTATTTTGACGTCACATTTCATTCATTTTTTTATAAGAAGAATGAAAAGAAGAATGAAAAGAATGATTTATAAGATTGCAACTTACTAGAGTAGAAATTAATGCATTTATAACAAAGAGCATGTATGAATTGAACAACATAAGTAGAAATTGAGTTACGGCCAGTAGCTCAAAAATAGGCGATTGTTGAGCTTTCAAGGGAAATTGTACCTTGATAGGAAATTGTCGCAAGGTATTATTGTAATCTCCGGATTGATATACAAAACGAATCGCATAACCGCCGAAAAAGTAAGACACTGCAGCAAGTATATTAATACTAAACATAACATTAGAATAAAAATGCGATATATTAGCTTTGATTGTCATCATATATAAATGATCAGTATCAATGCATTCATGCCAATCATTGTCCATAGCAGCGAGAAGTTGATGAAGGACTCTATAATTAAATCTAAATTACTTTAATTGGACAAATGAGATAGATAAGATATAATAATATAAATGTAATATAATCTTTGCAAAACTCTATAAATCGTTACTCAAATTAAGGGAGATTTGAAACTAGAAACAACTGAGATTATACATATGTATCGTTTGTAGAAAACCTAGTTGATAGCATATAAGAAATTAATAATTTTATGTATTAATAATTTTATGTCTTAAACGAGTGAGATTAGGTAAAACTAATGTTTGCAGTGATGCTTATCTTACCCACGATGTATCCAAATAGTGGTTATTTTAAGAATTATTAAGCTAAAAGATAAAGCTGCTGATAAACTATCAACGAGATCTGAAAGCTCGCTGATCTTGAAATGTTCGAATACGTATCGATATTGGTAATATTGTAAAATCAGTATGCTAAATATGTTAATTAGCCAATATGAGATGGACATTCCCGGCCACACACCAAGTAATTGAAGACCGATCTTCAACACCGGACTAACAGTACTTGTGACTGTCATTCGTACCCAGTATTGAAATCGCGAGGAAATAAAGATTAGCACATTTATGCGACACTCCGGTTTGAGAAAGATCTGAAAGAGTACCGGCAATTTCATCAATTGCAACCCCATGCAATACATCCCCACTCACGTAATACAAATCGCCACATATTATGCAGTATAGCAAATCGAGATAGAGTTTATTATTTATACAGATATCTTATAATTGTCTCTGATGACAGTTCAGCAATGTAATACCTGCAAAGTAACAAAGTAAAAAATCAAACTTATAAATTTTAAATAAACAACTTGATACGTAATTATTAACGTTCCTTTTTTTGCGAACGTGTCTCTTAGCAACGCGATACTAATAAAAAGAAACAATATGTCCCATACGTTCTGTACATCGTAAAAATCGTTAAACGTGGCAGAATAATGGTAATTACATATTAGATTCCATTCTACGAGAACGGAACTGCATTATATTCATATAGTTCTACCTTTTAAAGAGATAATTTGAGGGGAGAAACATATAGATGGGATATAGTGAAGTGTAATTTCCTTTAACGATTTTCGTAATGTTATCATGAACTCGCTTGAGGAAGAAAATTTAAAAGTAAAAAGTTTTCAATTGGTGTTGTTATAAATATTTAATTTTAAATATAGCTGTATGTCTCTACAAACTGAATGCAATTTTCTAATAAAGGTTCAATGCTCTAAAATATCGTATTTCATAGCAATATCTTTTTTATGGAAGAATATACAATGTAATTTTTATAATATAAAATAATAATAATATACAAAAAATTATTAGTATATATATTAATTGTTTTATATAAAATGTAATTTTTAATTTACATAATTTATTAATTAATTAATAATAAGGGAATTAATAATTTAATTTTAAATTTATTATCAACATTTTTTTACTAATTAGCTTATATTATCTATGTTGTTTCAACAAATATACAATAAAAATCCAAAGAAAGTAATCATGATCAACAATAAATATATGGAATTAGTTTGAATGTCACATTATTATTTAAGAATCTTTTAATCAATAGAATTGTCTATAACTTAATATAATAATCAGTAATAATGAAAAGAAATTCGCTTTGTTATTATTATAAATTAAATAAGGTGGTGCTTCTATAGAAAGCGTTAGTGGTATTAACAATCGATATTTTGAAGTTTAAGCAGATATTACTGTTCCACTTTTATTTTCCAATTTGGATTATTAAAAAGTGAAAAAATATAATTGAAAATATATTTACCTAAACTTAATTGTAAGCTAGCAATTCTTAATCTAACTTAGCATCTATTATACTATCAAGAAATGACAAAGACAACCAAATTTCCTGAGACATTTCAAATCATCATTATAGTCCCTAAAACTGAAAAATCTTGTTATCGCCATAGATCGCAAATTATCAGTTAAAAATGTGCGCAAGACTGTTAAAAATATGAAAGCTTATGACAGAGAAATCTTCTAACTAAAATAAGGATGTAAGAGATGCGCGGCAGTCGGTGAAGATATGGCTATTAAATTCTATTAATCATAAGAAATAGAAGTCATCCGCAAGTTAACAGAAATTAAAAGACACTACTTTTAACAATTTGCCACTGCCTCTACAAAGCCGGATTAAAAAACTGCATCAATCGTCTTGTCTCTTTTATTTCAAAAACGAATATGAAAAAGAGATTTGCTTTTGGAAATCGGTATGATTCATATTGTAAACTGTAGTTTCGTGTTTCCATTATTATCCATACTGTACACAACTTTTTAATCTGGCTCGATGGAGATGCTAGAGAAGTGTTGAAATTAATGTCTTTTAATTCCTGATAATCTCTGTAAAGACTTTGGCATTAATAATAGCTTGAAATTCGATAGTCCGGTCTTCATGGGATATTGTGTATCTCTTTCGTCTTAATCTTAAAAGATTTCTCAATATACCATGAGTTTCCATTTTTTAACATTGTTACGAATATCTTAAAATGATAATTTGTCTTTGGCGATAAGCTGGATAGATTTTCCAATCTTATAATCAGTCACTATGGCATCGCAATGGCGGTTCGAAAGATCTTAGGTAGTTCAATTGTCTTTGGTATTTCTTAATATAATGCATTTATCATGTTCGATTAAGAATTACTAGCAGTAATTAAATATAAAATATATTTTTAAATATATACGGGGTTTAAATAAAGTTTCTAAATAAAGTGTGAAAAATTATAATTCTTTATCAAAAATTAAGCGGAATTTTTTCGCATGGGAATAGATATGTTTTATAAATATATTTATTCCCATACCCTGCCTTGAAGAGTTCTTTACTCCTTCAAAAGGAGATGTAAAAATTAAGTTTCTATTTTTTTTTTAATTTTGGACAAATTAGAAAAATAAAATTTTAACATTTTTTACTAATAAAAAGGATACTTATTAACATTTTTTAATCCTTCTACATCCTTTTTAATTCTCCTATAATATATGTTATTAGAGGAAGAAATTAGCAACGTTTACTTCAATTTTTATTAAAATTTCACATTTTCGATAAAGAATCATCTTCTAAAATTTTTCGTAATTATTTAGAAACACCTTGTTTATTTCAGCACTCTTTTACAATAGTCCAAAATGAAAGGTAGAAGTCAAACAATAATGACTATTAACTTTTAAAATTTTGATTTTTAATACTACATGACATTTTCTATAAAAATGATTTCTTTATTTAATTTTAAAAGAAAGCAAATTTTTTAATATTATTGATTTTATATGAATCAAATAGAAACACTACTCAATAGGTAAAATACTATTTATTAAATTATAAGAAAACGGTCTGAACTTGCAATTAGACTTAATTCTTACATCACACATAAGAAAGCTTTCAACAAGATATAATTCTTTCATGTATACGGGTCTTCTAAATTATTTGTTTATTTATTATATGATAAACTTCTTACCGTGAATAATCTCTTTGCAATTAAAATTAAATTAGGTCTTTTAGCTTTCCGCATTCTCTCGAATTTTAAATTGTATTTTTGCTTTACTTGTATTTGATTATTACAACTACGATTATGATTACAGATTTTATCTGCTTTAAAGAAACTGTTGATCTCACACTCTTGTTTGAGTTAATGATTTATTTAATTGTATTATAAGCTTTTTAATACGATATAAATTTTAGGTCAATACATACTTTTCTGCATCATCACTTGTCTACAAACGTGGTAAAAAAATTTAAGTGATGATTTATTCAGTGATGATTCGACCTGTGCATAAGATGGAATTTTTTTGAATATTTGCTATTTCGCTGCGGATCTAAATGCCTAAAGTTTGGATTAAGTATAACATTTTAAATATAACGTATTTGTAATACATAACAAGTTGAAATTTGTGTGCAATTACCGCGTTGCATTTTCATAGCCTTTTAATTTTTAATATTTATATTTATAATCTATTTATATTTATAAATAAAAGATATATGTAGCAGATCGGTTATAAGCAAAATAAAATTATTTCTTAAAAATTAAATGTTTAAAAAAATGCATTCATAAAAGTTTCAAATGATGTATCCATCATTTTTCCTGCGTAATTGTCAGTAGCTCCTGAGAAATTTCATTATTATAAATATTATAACTGTAATAATACTAATAATGAAACTAATAGGAGTTAGCTTAGTAGAGCGCAATAATATAATTGAAATTAATTTAATATTTAATATTTAATTTTATTTATTTATTATAATTTTATTTTAATTTGATATTGTATCGTATCACAGAAATTTATACATTATATTGTATCGATTAAACAATTTATCCTAAAAACAAATAATATCAAATGCAACAATTTTTTAAATAATTACATTTATTTCTTCTAATTATTTGATAAATAAAGTTTTATTCTTAATCTGCCGATATTAAAAATAGTAAAGATTAAGTATACTAGAAACTGTAAAATAAAAAACAAAAATGTATGACAAAGAAAAAATAGTAAAGAATTTTAATAAAGTTTGAAATTTTTATGTTAATATCTGTTTCAAGAATAAAAAATTACATACTTGTAATGAAATAATTGACGAATATTTTGAAATTTCAACGTTGTATTATTATTTCAGAAATGTCAACATTATATTTAATAAATATTAAATATTGTAAAAAATTTTTTTCGATCAAATTGGCAGACATTAAGAAATATAATGGTACCAAGCAAATATATTTTTATTAATTTTTAAAAAAGTTATATGCAATGAAAAAAGCATTGGAAAAAATCGAGCATTCTATACGACTGGACGTTCAAAGATTAATAAAAACTAAAAATATATATACAAAATACATGAGTTGTTAAAGTGAAAATCAATCCATATAAAATATAACGCATGCAGAGATATAGTAATTTTAAAATATTATTACAACAAAATACTCAAACATCAGCAATATTGAATTTCAAAAGGAAATTATATTTGTATAAAAAACTGCTAGAAAGTAAAATGTAATCTTCAGTTAGAAAAATAAAACAAATTATCAATCGACTAAGAAATAAAATACCAAAGTAATTATTATTAACAATATCTCTATTAAGAATATATCTATATTAATATTTCAAACTAATGACAATGATTTTATTAAATTATTATATGTATTAATATCAATTATTGTTATATTAATACATTGCATGTAAGACAGATACGTACGATGCTGATGCTTTTATGATCTAAAAAAAATTTAGAAAATTAATTTACAAATATATATACGTACAGGAGTAAAAATGAAGTCTTTTCTTGAAGTAAATAGGTGTGGATAAGTGCGTCATCTGTTGTAATATGTGGGGTGACGTGCTTATCTATATGGAATGTTAAAACATTTTATTTAACTGTTTAGAAGGATATTTCAAAAACTTACACTTGTAAATGTGGTTAAAGATAAACTTGTGATTCTCCCTGCCGTGATCATGAGTTGTTTTTGAGATCTCATTATTATGAACATCAAAATTTTCCTTTGATTTAACGGTAAATCATACCAAAATGACTCGTATGCTGCATCAGCAATTGATTTACTCTGAAAACAGTGTAAAAGATAATAATATAATATTTCTTATAATTTTTTGGCATATTTTCACAAATATTGTTCAAAAAAATCTTATTTATAATAAAAATGACAACGGTTTTTCTAATCTTTTACTGTTATACAAAAATTTTAAAAATTGAAAATATAAACACGTATTGCTTATTGTGAAAAAATAGAAACAGTATAAGTACTATGAAAAAGCATTATAAAACATTTAAAGTATAAAAATAAAATATAATAATATATATTACAAAAATTTAGTTACTTTTAGTATCATTTCTTTTTAGTAACACACTTTATTGACGTAATATTCACGACATATTCTCAATATATACCCGATACATGTCAATGTTTAACTAATGTATCGCCAATAAACTGTGGAGTTCTGTTTTCAAAATAAAAGAATTCTAATACTTCCAATAAGCACATTACTCTTTTTTATTACTTTATATTACAAAAATGCATATTTGTTCATTATGTTATAAATATGACATCTTAATTTTACCATTTTAATTATGTAATATTGCATTAATGAGATTGCAATGGCCTAAAACAGATATATTAATATTTACGCTTTAAACAAATTTTATATATATTATATATATATATATACATGTGAAAGTTGTGTTCATAACATTCTGTTTTTATTGAGCAACACATTTTTATAGAATATTTATTTTATTTGATATTAGTTTTATTATTAATAAACAAAAATTTTTAAATAATAACAAAATCTATATAAATTTTTTTTATATAAATATTTCAAATACTAAAAATGACTTATACAAAGTTTCATTGAGATTTACCAATTAGTTTATAACAATATTTTGTTGATTTACAATTAACAAAACATTAATGTCTGCATCTCAATGTAACTGTACATAAATATTTTTGAATTCATAAAATATTTATACAAAAAAATTGAGATTTTTATCATTATTTTATAATATATTTTCATATATTTCTATTAGAGTACACATTTAAAAAATATTACTTTATATTGAAATAATTTTTGATCCAAATGGTCTCAACTGTCTCTAATTTTTTTATATTACTTTTAATGCAATTTAAAATAATCTGTAATTTTTTCAAGTAATTCTTAACATATAGTATTTGCCTTACAACCTCCTTAAGTACGATGTATACACTTGCAGTTAATAATTTTCAAATACTTACTAACCTTTAGATTGAGATATTCTCCAGCAAAACATAAGATGAAAACTTCTAATATCACAGCAAGATAAGCAAAAATGGATTTTAATATTGTTGTGACACCAGTCTCAATATAAAACGACTATATTGATAAATAATAAGACCAAATATACATTAACTGCAATATTAATGACAATAAATTTATTGCTGTACTCACAATTATAATAATAAATCCTAAGCTGCAAATAACTAGAGTATTCCAAATAACTTGCATCAAGGCAATAAAGGAGAAAAGTGTTTCGATGTTGTCAGAAAACCAAAAGACTCTGTTGTGTCTCTCAATCAGTACACCTAATGTAGATGTGGAAGTCTTATCAGGAAGAACTTTCGCAGAAATAGTTTTGAATTCTTGACATAATATATCGATTTGTCCACTTACATGAAGCACCTAAAGTATATATGTAAATTTCTGTAAAGTTTCGAAGTATGGAAAGTATCACATATATATTTTTATGAAGAATTGTTTGGTATAATAAAACAGTAAAATGCAGTGCACTTATTAGTAATATCTAATTAACATATTAAATGCCGAGATTATTTTACTTATTCTTCCATTTACATATTCAACTATATATTTTCTTGTTTCTATAGCTTTTCAATTTTTAGTATAAGGATATTAAATTTTGTGTCGACAGTCACCCGCTAATGCAGCCCGAACGAAAAGTTCATTGTTGATCGATTAGTGATCGACATGACACTTAACAATTATAATTATTAAATTTCTTTGACAGTAATATAAAATCTTATTATACTAAATTAAATTTGTATAACACGTTATAATTCATATACTATAAGTTTTACATATCAAAGCGTATATGAAAAAAACGACTACAATTACCATGACTAAAGTCGCCCATTAATTTTTTAGTTATAAGAACTATAATATGATGGTGATAACCGTAAGACTGGCATATCTTAGCGGTTATGACTGTAAAGATATGTCCATCTTACGGTTATCACAACCAAATATTGATGGGTGAAAATTGTTATTATTTTCGGTCGTGACAATTGTAACACTTTTTCTGTGTATGTTAAGAATTAAATTTTGTTTTGAGGTGCCAAAGGGTTTGCGAGTTATCGTCGCGTCGTAATCCATTACTAATGTCAACGTTTTGTTGCCTTTCACTTTATCAGTAGACTTCTCGCTCTGATGAAGTGAACGGCTGATGAGGTTCACGAAACGTTGGCATTAGCAACGATAATCTGCAAGCATTGGACATCTCTAAAGAACATACTCGTGAAAATCTCAAAAGTATTTGTTCTGATCTGTTTACTGACATGACGTACAGTTAAATAATTTCTATGAAAAATCAAAATAATAATTTATAAGATAAAACTCACTAGAGTAAAAATTAATGCGTTTACAATAGAAACCGTACTCGTATTTAACAATACATGTAGAAATAAAGTTAGGGCCAGCAGCTCAAAAATCGGCGATTGCTGATTTTCGAAAGGAAAATGTACCTTGATAGGAAATTCCCGCAAGGTATTATTGTAATCTTCGATTTCATATACAAAACGAACTACATAACCGCTTAAAAGATAAAACACCCCAACAATTATATAAATACTAGTCATAACATTAGCATAAAAATGCGATGTATTGGCTTTGATTGTCATCATATACAAATGCTGATCAATATCAACGCATTCATGCCAATCATTGTCCATAGCAGCCAAGAGTTGATAAATGACTCTGTAATATATTACTTTAATTAAACAGATATTGGAATAAAAATGACACAGTCTATTCAAAACTCTATAAATCATTAATTGAAGTAAGATACGCTACGTTTATAGAAGATTTAATCAACAACATATGTCACATATATAAGAAACTATTAGGTGTTGGAATTAATTCGTAGCGTTTTACAAGTGATGGGAAGTACTTTCATTAATGTATTTTTTAATGCTCATGTGAAATAAATAACATTCTTTCATTAAAAAACGCTATGAATTAATTCCAACACCTAATAATATTGTATTATTATTATAATTTTGTATTATTATTATTATTATTATAATTTTGTGTTACAAAGATTGGATAAAGTTGACATTTGCAGCGACACAACATCTTACCGACGATGTATCCAAAGTATAACTACTTTAAAAATTGTCAAGCTGTAATCTAAAGACGCGGGTAAGCTATCGACAAGATTTGAAAGCTCACTGATCTTGAAGTGCTCGTATACGTATCGATATTGAAAGTATTGTATAATTAGTATGCTACATATATAAATTAGCCAATAGGGAATGGACACACCCGGCCACACACCAAGCAATTGAAGACCGATTTTCAATACCGGACTGACGGTACTTGTGACCGTCATTCGTATTCAGTATTGAAATCGCGAGAGAATAAAGATCGTCGACACTATGGTTTGTGAAAGAATTGAAAGAGTACTAACAGTTTCTTCAATTGCAACCCCACGCAGTCCATCCCCTCTTACGTATAAATATGGATTTATCAATATATTGTGTAGTATAACAGCAAAACAAAATTGAGCTCATTATTTGTATAGACATCCTATAATTTTTTGTTGATGGTCTAACGTATACTCGCAAAGTAATACAGATATCGGACTTAAACTCAGAATGAACAAATTGATGTCTAATTGTTTCCTTTTTTTTTACTTGTCTCTTGACAACGCGATTTCAATATAAAAACCAAAAGTTTGCAACTTTCTATACATAGCAAAAAACCTATAGCAGAACAATGGTAATTATATGTATATTAGATATTCTAAACGAACTATAAATTGAATTATATTTGTGTGTAGTTCTATCTTTGTCTTTTAAAGAAATAATTATGGGGAAAATAACAGAGAGAGAAAGAGAAATGAGGATATAATAATAAGTAATTCTCTTTAATGATTCTAAATTATCATAAAGAATATTTTCTTGAGAAAGATATTTTAAAAGTAAAATTTTTTTCAATTAAAGATATTACAAATGTTTAATTTTAAGTGTATCTATATCCAATAAGATATTATCAAACTGAATATACAATTCTCTAATAAAGAATCAATATCCAAAGATCCCATGTGATCGTATTCTTTAAATATAAATATATAATGTAATATAATAGTAATAATAATAGAAAATACTAATAATAATAGAAAATACAAACTTATTTGCATTTATATGAAATGTTTTATAATAGGTGAAACTTTTAATCTATATAATTCATCAACTAATTACTAATCAATAATAGTTAATAACCTGTTAATAACAATTTAATTTAGATTCATTACCAATATTGTTTTACTTATTGGTTCATTAATGACGTTATTATTTCAACAAACGTATATTACATTTTTATTCGAGTCAATACATCACATTCAAAACAGATATATATGATACTGATGCCTTCATGACCTAAAAAACAGAAATAAAAAAATTAAATCTCTATAAATTATATTTATGTTTAAAAGACACAAATAGCAAATTAATTATAAGCAAAATGAAATTCCTAAAGAATTAGATGTCGTAAAAAAATTTTAGAAATTACATTTGTAAATGTATCAAATGACATATCCATCATTTTTCCTGCTGTGATCGCCAGTCGCTTCTGAGATCTCATTATTATAAATATTATTATTTTACTTTGACGAGATGGAATATCATACCACAAGGATTCGTATATTGCATTGGCAATTAATTTACCCTGAAAGCAAATAGTTTTAAATGCAACGGCTTTTAACATAATATTTATTGATTTTACTTATTCAATAAATAAAATCTTTCTTTAATTATCATTGCCAATATTACGATATTAAAAAATAAATACACCATAAAGAATATCAAGGAAAGTACAACAGAGAAAAATTGATAAAAGGAAGATTAAAATTAGAATTCTATTTTATTTTTGAAATATAAAAAATTATGTGATTTTTAATGACAATATTTTGGACCTACAACAATTTTTTTTTATTAGAGATATCGACATTACATTACATCGATACTATATGTTATATTTATAAAACAAATATCATTTCTTAATTAAAAAACGTTATTATTTAAATGATTAAATAATTTTGAATAATATTATATTATATATATATAAATTAGAATAAGTATTTATATATTTTGATTTATTTCTTTGAAATTTTATTATTAGAAATGTATATTCATGATTACATAATGCCAGAAAAGTTTATCTTTATTAACTATCTTAATTAACTATTTCTCAGTACTTACTAAAATACTTACTTTAAGACTAAGATATTCTCCAGCAAAGCAAATGATGAAAGCTTCAGCCATTATAGCAAAGTAAGAAAGAACCGTTTTTATTAATACGAAAACATCAGTTTCGCTATGAATACACTAATTCGATAAACAATAAAAAGAAAAATAATTTATACCATGTCAATTATTGCACATTTACTACTTACAATTATGATGAAAAATCCTAGAAAACAAATAACTAACGTATTCCAAACAACTTGCATTAATGCAATAAAGGAGAAAAGTTTTTCGATGTTCTCGGAAAATGATATAATTCTGTTGTGTCTTTCAATTAGTATTCCAAATAAAGACACGACAGATTCATGAAGAAGAGTACTCCTAGAAATTTTTCTAAACTCATAACACATTATATCAATTTGTCCGCTAACATGTAGTACCTAAAATATACTTAAATTTTTGCATAATTATTTTATATGAAAAAGATTTTCATGCTATAACAAATGTATTTCGAATACAATGCATATATTTTTATATAATATACTTATGTGTTCAAAAAAGTTTTTTTTTTGTAAAGTTAATTCTAAAATTTCGAATACAAGCATTAATTACACTTCTATACTTTTGCGTAGAAAATATAACAAATCGTATATCGAAAATATAACAAAATTATACAAATATATTTAAAGTGAAATATTAATACAACTGAACTTTAGATAGAAATATATTATAATCTTATGTCACAAATTGCTCTGTTAAGTATAAATTAATTCAGATGAAAATAAACATATAAAATATAATATATATAGTTACCAAAGTAAGAACCAATCCATTTAAAATGCAAAGTATGCTGACATGTAACATTACATGTAAAGATATTGTTACAACAAGAACCTCAAACATTGGCGATTGTTGAGTTTCGAAGGGAAACTGTATTTTTATAGGAAACTGTCGTAAAGTATGATTTTGATCTTCATTTAAGAACACAAAACGAATTACATAATCGCCTAAAAGATAAAGTAGCGCAACGGTCGCATTAACACTCAATAAAGCGTTAGAAATAAAATGTGCTATATTGGCTTTAATTGTCATCATATACAAATGTTTATCCATATTGATGCACTCGCGCCAGTCATTATCCATAGCAACCAAGATTTGATGAAGAACTCTGTAATGTATATATTTTTAATCTGTTAGATGTTTCAAATAAAAAGATCACATTTTTTTCGATGGATCAACGTTTAAGAACGATCAAGCTAAAGTTTAGATAATGATGTTATATTATTTCAATTACGGTAAATAAAACTGGTAAAAATGTGTTATGAAACTGATAGAAAATCATGTTTTTCGAACATGACGATTAAACATAGTTGAACTATTACATAGAGAATATCTTACTGACGATGTATCCATAGACCAATCAATTTAAATAACGTTAAACTGTATTCTAAAGTTACAGTCAAACCGTCAATGAGATTCGAAAGCTCGCTGATCTTCAAATGTTCAAAAATATATAAATACTGAAAGTACTGTATAATCAATGTGCTTAACGTAAAACTCAGCCATTGAATGGTAGAATACGAAACACGCGGCCAAATGCCGAATATTTGAAGACCAATTTTCAGCACTGGGCTGACAGTACTTGTAATTACCATTTATCAATTGTGTTTAAAACATAAGAAAATAAAAATCAGTATATGAGCATTTGTTCGATACTTTAGACAAGAAGTAAATGAGACTGTATTATACATTTCTCCAAGTATTGTATATCCCCATGGTACGCGATTCCCACTCGCGTAAATATGGATCAATCGACATGTATTGTGTAGTATAATAGCAAATCGAGATAGAGTTAATTTTTTATAGACATTCTGTAATTTTCTGTTGATAAGTCTAACAACGTACATTATTTTTAAAGTAATAAAGATATCGAACTCTGGATGAACAACTCGATGTGTAATTATCAGTTCCTTTTTCTTGCAAACTTGTCTCTTGGCAATATAATTCCATCAAAAAGAAATAAATGTACACTACATTCTGTGTAGAACAACATTAACTATATATTAGGTATTCTAAGCAAATGGAACTGAATTATATTCTTGCAGTTTAATCTCTGGTGTTTAAAGAAATAAAGTGAGGGGAGAACAACGGAACGGAAATGTAATGATGAGTAATTTCTTTTAATGATTTTATGAACGGTATCATATAAAAAACGTTTGAAGAAGAAATTTAAAAGCATAAAAGTTTTTAATTGGAGATATTAAAAATATTTAATTTTTAATATGTCTATAACCAACGGAATATGCCTATACGCAAACTCAATGTATGATTGTCTAGGAAAAAGTCAATGCCTAAAAACATCTAACATTCTCCACACTAATATTCTTTTAAATAAGAACGTATAATGTATATAATAATATCCAAAATCAAAAAATTATTATAAAAATTTGCATTCGTATTAATTACTGTTTATTAAATATAATTTTTAATTTATATAATTTATTAAATAATAATTAATAAAAAACAATTAATAATCTGTTCATAACAATTTAATTCTAAACTTATTGTTAATACTGTTTTACTAATTGGCTTACAATAATTACATTATAATTGCGACAAATGTATATTTCGTTTTTACTTGTATTGATACATAGCATTCATGACGGATATATTGACGACATATTGACGCTTTCATGATCTAAAAAATATGAATAGAAAAATTAATTTTGGTTTATAAATTATATTTGTGCATAAAGAACACGTGCAAATTGATTATAAGCACAAAATAAAATAATCTCTTTAAAATTAAGTATCCAAAAATTTTAAAAATTACATTTGTAAAAATTTTAAATGACATGTCTATCATTTTTTCTGCCGTAATCACTAATTGTTTCCGATTGATCTCATTATTGTGAGTATCAATATTTAATTTACTTGGATATAACAGCATATTATATCACAGCGATTCGTATGTTATAGCAGCAATTAATTTACGCTAAAAGCTAATAATGTCAAATGCAAAGTTTTCTGCATAATTATATGTATAATAATAATTATATTTAATTCTCCTTAAAAAATTCTCCTATTAAATTTGTCTAAAATATAAATATTTTTAATGTTCTAACAATATTATAAAGATTAAAGAATAAAGATATTATTAGAGAATAACAATAAAAATAAAAAAAGAATAGTAAAATGAAATAAAATTAGAAAAACTTTATTAAAAATGCTTTATTCACCAATTTCTAATTTTTTTTAGAATATATAAGAAATTACATACCTTTAATAAAATAATTTACAAATATTATTTATAATTTCAGTAATCTTCTATTACACACAACGAAAAGACAGAACAATATTCAGTATAAAAAATATCATAATATTACATTTGTAAAGCATTTTTTAAGACAAAAACATTAACATTAAGAAAAAAAATTAATTATTTTACATAATATTTTATGCACAGTAATATATTAAAATATTATCGTTAGAAACCAATGTTTATAGGTATTTCATTATGGCATAATTAGATATACATATTAACTCGACAAAATGTTAGATATATAAAATATATATTTATAATTAAAAAAAAATAAAATTTTAAATACTTAGACACTTATTTGAGACTAAGATATTCTCCAGCAAACAAATAATAAAAATTTTAGCCATTATGTCAAGATAACCAACAATGGTTTTTATCAAAACGAAAACAACAATTTCATTATGAATAGATTAATTCGAACAAGAAAAGAAAAAATATTATATATCGTATAATTATTACACATTATTTTACAGTTATTATAAAACTTACAATTATCAAGAAGAATCCTAGACCGCCATGACTAACGTATTCCAAATAAGACTTGCATAAAAGAGAAGAGTTTCTTGATTTTTTCGGAAAATGAAATAATTCTGTTGTGTCTCTCGATCAGCATTCCAAATAAGGACTCAGATTTATAAAAAAAGTACTCTTAGAAATACTTCCAAACTCATGACACGTTATATTAATTTGTCCGTTTACGTGAAATAAAGCATCTGGAATATACTTACATTATTTAAAAATTATAATTATTAGATATGAAAGAGATTCTTGCTATAAAGAATGTGTTTTGAATAAAATGAACAAACATGTATATATATTCTTATACAGTATGTTCATCAAGTTATTAAAAAAATTTTTCTTGTAGAATTCAATTTTTTTAACACAAGAATTAATGAGATGTATTTTATAACTTCTTACTCAGAAATATAACAATATATATCAGTATTGCACAAATTATTTAATATAAAATTTCAATTCGATAGTATCAATAATTTAATACAACGTTGCTTCACAAATTGCTCTGTTACATTAAACCTAATAAATATCAACTAATAGTAACATAATACTAATTTCATATATATATATACACATGTACATACAGTTATACTATCGAATGTGATATTATATAATAATATTAATGTTAAGTTGTCAGTTGGTGTTTATTAAGAAATTAGTCAAAAATAAAAATATTATTGGTTAAATTAAAAATGTAAAGGTTACCAAAGTAAGAATTAATCCATTTAGAATATAACGCGTGTAAACATTACATGCAAAAATATTGTTACAATTAGAAATTTAAACATCGGCGACTGTTGAGTTTCAAAAGGAAATTGTATTTTTATAATTAATAAGTAACCATAAAGTTACATTGTAATTTTCGTTAACAAATATAAAACAATTTACATAATCGCTTAAGAGATAAATTACTGAAAAATCACAACAACGCTTAATATAACATTATAAACAAAATGCGATATGTTAGCTTTAATGGTCATCATATGCAAATGCTGATTAATGTTGATGCACTCGTGCCAATCATTATCCATAGCAACCAGAATTTGATGAAAAATTCTGTAATATATTATTTTAATTTATTGGATTTCTTATAGAAAGATCACACTTTCTTTTGAGGAAACAAGAATGTTGTGTTTATCAACACTCGAGCTACAGTTCGGTATTAAATATTTATTTTTCGCTTTAGTAAATCGAATAAACAATGCGTTAAAAAACTAAAACAAAATCTTTTTGAACACAATTAAATCTTTACTATGTAATTAAATACTTACCGACAATGTATCCACAGACTAATCAATTTAAATAATGATAAACTGTAAAAAGTTACAGTTAAACCGTCAATGAGATTTAAAAGCTCGCTGATCTATGTGTTCAAAAATGTATAAATACTGAAAGTACCGTATGATTAATGTGCTTAACATTAAACTTAGCCAATCAACGGTAGAATATGAGATACGTGGCCAAAGTATTCGGAGACCAACTTTTAGCACTGGGCTGACAATACTGGTAAATACCATCTACTAATAGTTTTTTAACATGTAAGAAAATAAAGATTAGTTTTTGTACATTTGTTCGATACTGCGATTGAGGTGGAAATGAAAGAGTATAATATTAACAATAAGAAATGTCTAATACGTTTCTTATTGCAAAAATTATTAAAGATATAGCAGGGTGATAGTAAATATACACATTAAATATTCTAAAAGAAATAAAAATAAATTGTATTAATGCAGTTCATATACATCTAGTTTTTTAAAGAAATAGCAAGAGGAGAAAAACAGAATTTCCTGATTGGATCACGTAACATAGTGATGAGTAATTTCCAACAAAGGAAAAAAATCATCAAAAAATGTTATGCAAAACTCGCTTGTGGAAAAAATTTCGAAAATAAAAATTTTTTAATCAGAGATATTATAAAAATTAATCACAAGCCTAATAAAAAATTATTCATATGTATAAAAACATATATAATTATGTATGAAATATGGCCATATATACAAGGTATTTTATTTTAAAAGACAATCTCAAATATCTCTTGAACAGTGTATTTTAAAGAAAAATGTTTTAAATAAAAGTTTCATGATTTCCTAGGGAATATAAGATGGTATCTTTGATTGTACCTTGGATGGTATTGTCAAGATCAGGACAAGATCACAATGAATTTTTTAATAGAACTCTCTATTTTTCATTACAAATTCTTTTAGCTTACCTTGAGAGCTTTTCAAAACACTGTAATAAAATATCTTTTCATTAAGTACTTTTCGAGTTAAAACTTGAAAGTTACAGTACTATCGACATTAGTATTATCCAAGTTTATTGTTCGACTGACAATTAAAATCTCTTAAATGTTGTTCAGGATCATTATCTGGATAACATTTGTTAAAATCAAGGCCATTAAAGGTTGTATCTCTTATTTTCATTTTTACATAAAAATGAATTTAGTGCAAAAAATGAAATAAAAGGTACAATCTTCAATAACCTTAATCTAGTCAAAAATGTTATCTAGGTCATGATATGAAAAAAAAATCAATGTTTGACGTGTTATATAAGTAAATATTGCTCCTAAGTAAGGATATAATAAATTATCAAAAAATATTAAGACATTTGTTTACATTTACATTAAATACTTTTATACAAATGTAATTTCAATTTGTGTAATTTATTAATCGATAGTTATTAATAAGACAGTTGTCAATAAGAAATTAAATTTTAATTTATTGTAAATATTTTTTAATATATTATAATTAATATATTATAATTGCATCAAATAAATACCGCATGTTGATATCAATACATAGCATTTAAAACGGATATATACGATGCTGACGCCTTCATAATCTAAACAAAAATACAAGTTAAGAAATTAGAGACACGCACACACACACACACACACACACACACACACACACACACACACATATATATATATAATAGTAGATTAAAAAATAATAAGCAAAATAATAAGCAAAATATGTATAGAATTATTTTGTGAAAATTAAATATTCAAAATATTAAAGAAATTACACGAGTAAATGTTTCTAATGACATATCCATCATTTTTCCTGCCGTAATCGTCAATCGTTTTTGAGACCTCATTATTATAAATACTATAATTTTATTTTTATTTGACGGCATATCGTACCACAGCGATTCGTATATTGCGTTGGCGATTAATTTACCCTAAAAGTAATACAAATGCGACGACACTTTTTATACCTAATTATTTAATTTACTTCACAGTAGTTTATCTAATATTATTGCCGATATTAAAAAAATGTTATACAAATTTAAAAATATTGAAAGAAGTAAAGAAATTATAGGAGAAAAATAGTAAAATCATATTACATTTGTAATATTATATTTGTGTTGAAACACGTTACTAAACATTGAAGAAATAAATATTATATGCAATAAAAAATATTTTTATTAAAAAATTGATTTTCTTAAGTGATATCTTGAATATAGCCAAATATTAAATGTTTTTTTTTAAATAACATTGTATTTTTATTGTATTTTTATTTATTAATTACATTATGTCAATGTAATTATGTGATTAAAAGCTTCTGTATAGATGATTTACTATGTGTTGAATATTTACCTTTAAACTAAGATATTCTCCAGCAAAGCAAATGACAAAGGCTTCAATCATTATAACGAAATAACCAGAAACAGTTTTCACTAACACGAAAATCCCAGTTTCGTTATAAATAGACTAATTCAACGAATTATAAAAAGAAAAATAAATATATATAATCAATCATTGGGCGTGTGTATTTTAATACTTACAATTACGATAATAAATCCTAAACAGCAAATAACTAACGTATTCCAAACAACTTGCATTAATGCAATAAAGGAGAAGAGTGTCTCAATATTGTTAGAAAATATAATAATTTTATTATGCTTCTCAATCAGCAATCCAAAAAAAGACTCGAAAGATCCATCAAGAAGAGATCCCTTAGAAATATTTCTGAATTCATGACACATTATATCAATTTGTCCGCTTATATGAAGTACCTAAAATACACTTACATTCTCTTACGAAAAATTATAATTATTATAAAGTAAAGAGATTTTTTTGAAAAAAACATTTCAAATATAACAATTCAATAAAAATGATATTATTAAAATAATATTATTATGCAATATACATTTAATTACAAGCAAATTTATTGTGTAGATATTACTGTAAAATTTTTCTAATATTGACATTAATACTTTAAAATGTTTTACACAATAATATGACAGTCCGTCAACAAAATTATATAATATATACAAAGAAAAATTTTAATGTGAATGTGTTCACAATTATGCGTTACAAATTAATTAATTATATAAACATTAAAAAATATACATATACGAATATGAGTTACCAAAGTCAACATTAATCCATTTAAAATAGCGATTGTGCATGCGTGTATTGCCACATGTAAAAATAATGTTATAACGAGAAACTCAAACGTTGGCGATTGATGAGTTTCAAAAGGAAATTGTATTTTTATAGGAAGCTGCCGTAAAGTATTATTTTGATTTTCAGTAAAAAATACGAAACGAATTACGTAGTCGCCTAAGAGATAAAGTACTGCGACAACCGCATTAACACTCAGTAAAATGTTAGACGTAAAACGTGCTATATTCGCTTTGATTGTCATTAAATACAAATGCTTATCCTCATTGATGCACTCGCGCCAATCATTATCCATAGCAATCAGGATTTTATGAAAAACTCTGCAATATGTTAATTTGCTCTAATTTGTGATATGTTTCAGATAGTCATATCATATTTTCTTTTATGAGAAGAGAAGAGAGAAAGAGAGACCAGGGAAAAAATCTTTCACATATAATTATATATATATATAATATTTTTTCCCGAGGACAATGTTGTACATATATTTCAATATTTGAATTAAGATTTAAATTAATAATCACTTCCACTTAGAAAAAATCCACTTAGAGAACAAATGTTAAGAAACTGAAGGAGCATCTTGTTTCTTGATTATAGTTGTTATAGACTTGCAGAGCATAAAGAGAAAGTTGAACTATTACATAATACATGATATCTTACCGACGATGTGCCCACAGACTGGTCAATTTAAATAACGTCAAACTGTAATCTAAAGCCACAATCAGACCGTCAACAAGATTTGACAACTCACTCATCTTTAAATGACCAAATATGTACAAATATTGGAAGTACTGTATAATCAACATGCTCAACATAAAACTCAGCCAATGAATGGTAGAATATGAATCACCTGGCCACATGCCAAGAAATCGGAGACCAACTTTTAATGCTGGACTAATACTAGATGTGATCATTTGTCAAAGATTTTAAAAACGTGAAGAAATAAAGATTATTTTCGGCACATTTGTTCTGTACTATAGTTGAGAAGAAAATGAGAGAGCACTGTCCATTTCTCCAAGTGTATCCCCATACAGTGCGTCCCCACTCAATAAATATGGATCAATCGCTATTATACGATGCTCAGTATGACGATAAGACGAAATAGAGTTTATAATTTTTTCATACTATAATTCCATAAACAGTCTAATAACGTATAATACTTTGACCGTAAAGTAATAAAGATATTGTATAGCTAAGATAATACAAAAAAAAAATTATTTACTGCGAAACCGTTATCTTTTTGCATTTTTTTTTTCTTTAAAATGCAAAATTATAAGCAAGAAGGAAATGTCTAGATGTTCATTATAATTTCTACCTTTTATGAAGGTATTATTAAGTGCATGACATGGTGCTTACGCGTATTAGGTATTCTAAGCAAACGGAAATAAATTGCGTTCATTTGATCTTCCTTTGAAGAAATATGATGAAGGGAAAACAACAGAACTCTCTGACTGAATATGAAGTGACTAATAATTTCCACTAATAATTCAAAAAATGTTGTTTGCGTCAAACTTGCATATTGAACAAATTGCAATTGGAAATAATATAGACGTTTAGTTACAAATAAACGAATTAAATATCTTGTAATAAAAAGTCATCGATTATAGAGCTAAAGTAGTTTGAATACTACTGCAACCTGCATACTAATGCAAGCTTATTTTGTTAAATAAGAATGAACAATATAATAATAATAATAATAATAATAATAATAATACACGAAATATAAAAGATTTGCATTTACATTAATAATATTTTCTTAAATGCAATTTAAATATGTTATTTATTAACTAATAATTAACAAGTAACAGATATCAGCTTAATATGATAATGTAAGTTCTAATTTATTACAAATTTTTTAAATCTATTTTAAATTAACTATGATATAATTTCAGCAGAGAGAGATCTATTTTGTTGATGTCAATACATAGCAATCAAAACAGATATGTATGATGCTGACGCCTTCATAATCTAAAAAATTCAAGTTAAAAAATTAAACTGGATCTATAAATTATATTTACACATAATAGACACATAGATCAAAAAATAAAATAATAAATAAAATAAAATAAAATTAATCATCAGACATTTAAAAAATTAAAAGATTACAATCGTAAAAGTTTCAAATGACATATCCATCATTTTCCCTGCCGTAATCGCCAGTCGCTTTTGTGATCTCATTATTATAAACACTATAATTTTACTGTGACTTGACGGCATATTATACCACATTGTTCCATATGTTGCACTAGCAATTAATTTGCCCTAAAATGCAAATACAGCTAATACTTTGTAATTAATTTTGACACGAAAGAGTTTTCTATCATCTATATTGTGAAAACATTATAGCCAAAATATCCGAAACTCTTTAATAATATCATTTTTACTTTTATTTTATCTAAAAAAAAGCTTTACAATAAATAATTAGCTGATAAACATTTTATTTAGATAACTTTTATTATAACAGATACAAATTATCATTATCTTAAAAAATATTCTTATTTAAGAAATCAATCGTTTTTAATAATGTTTTAACTATGTCAAAATTATATTTTTATTACAAAATAATGTCTATTATAGTATTCATTATTATATAATATAGTTATGTTATATAAGTTATGTTATGTTAAAATACGGTATATTTACTAATCATTCTTGCTTACCTTGTAACTAAGATATTCTCCGGCAAAACAAATAATGAAAGCTTCCAGCGTTATGGCAAGATAAGCAAAAACAGCTTTCATTAATGCAAAAACACCAGTTTTATTATGGATAGACTATATTATTAAGTAACAAAAATGAGTGAAAAATATGAAAGAATCACAACGTTGTACAATTATTATAGTACTTACCATTATGAAGGCAAATCCTAGACAACAAATAACTAAGGTATTCCAAACAACTTGCATTAATGCGATAAAAGAGAAGAGCCGTTCCATATTATCGGAAAATGAAATGACTCTTTTATGTTTCTCGACCAGCATTCCCAACGATGATGTGAAAGATCCATAACAAAGACTATTCTTAGAAAAATTTTTCAATTCTTCACAAATAATATCAATTTGTCCACTTATATGGAGTGCCTAAAATATACTTAAATATTTACAAAAATTACTTGCATATAAAAAATTTTTCTATTTTAAATACTTCTTATATAAAAATTTAATAAGTATTGTAATCATATACGTATAATAAATTTTATTTATATAATTTATCCTCAAAAATATTCAATATGACATTAATTATATTTTAAAGATACTACAGAAATGCATCATGTATGTTTGATTTATATCACATAAAGTAAAATTATGCAAATTCATGAAAAATTTTCATACAAAAACGCTTATAAGTTTATGTAAATCGCTTCGTTGTATAAAAAATTGAAAATAAGAAATATACAATATAAGTTACCAAAGAAAAGATCAATCCATTTAGAATAGTGTTCGTCCATACTTGTAATATTGTATGTAAAAATATTATTACAGCAATAAATTCAAATACAGGCGATTGTTGGATTTTAAACGGAAATTGTATTTTTATAGGAAGTTGCCGCACAGTATTATTATAATTTTCATTTAGAAATACGGAACGAATTACGTAATCGCCTAAAAGATAAATTACTGTAATAATCGCATTACAACTTAATAAAGCGTTAGAAAAAAAATGCGCTATATTAGCTTTAGTTGTCATCGTATACAAATGTTGGTCAATGTTGATGCACTCATGCCAGTTATTATCCATATCCTTCAAAATTTTATGAAGGATTCTGTAATATATACATTACTTTAATATGTTATTGTCTCTAATCAGATGTTTCAGATATGAATAATATTTATTCTCTTCAATTAATGTTGTATACTTCAATGTTTGAATTAAAATTCTAAATAACAAGATGACGTTTTAATAACGACTTATTATTGATATTAAAGAAAGTTCCAGTTAGAAAAAATTAGATCAATATGTTAGGAACAAATTTATTTTTCGAATACAGCGATTAAATAAAACTATTACACAATATACTGTAGTACCTTACCGACGATGTATCCATAGACCAATCAATTTAAAAAACGTCAAACTGTAATCCAGAGTAATAATCGAACTGTCAATAAGATTTGATAATTCACTAATCTTTAGATGATCAAAAATGTACAAATACTGAAAGTACTGTATAATCAGCATACTTGACATAAAACTTAAGCAATAAATGGTAGAATACGGCACACCTGGCCAAAAGCCAAAAAAACAAAGACCAAACTTCAGCGCTGGGCTGATGGTACTCGTAATTGTCATTTGCCAATAAATTTGAGAAAAAAATAATCGCTTTTAATACATTTGTTCAATGCTCTGATTAATAAGGAAATACAAGTGCACCATCTGATTTTCCAAGTGCATCCCCACACGGTGTGACCCCACTCCGGTGAATACGGATCAATCGCTATCATATGTCGCACAGTACAATAATAAGACAAGACAGAACCCATTATTTACATGAACATCCTATAATTTCATTAGCAATTTGATGTCATGTACTTCGATCATATTATACTGCTAAAGTAAAAAAAAACAACTCCCTGAGAAATAGCTTTTTTTTTTCAAACTTGTATCTTTAGCAACGCAATATCATCAATAAATAAATGTCTACAATTCCCAACTGCAACAAATTATTAAATGTATCATTATATTTTGATTGTGACTATAGGATTAAATTTTCTGACAAATAGAAATTGATAGTATTCATGTCATTCAATTCAAAAGTAATAACGTAATGGATAAATAAAGGAACTGTACAATTGGAGATATAATAACTGTAAATATCCTCTAATAATTTCAGGAAAATAAAATTATACTTGCAAGGAAGAGAAATTTCAAAAGTAAAATTTCAAAACTAAAATATTGAATATAAGATATTGTCAATACTTTTAATAAATCAGATACGAAATGTGTGCATACAAATTGAATATACTATTTTTTCTGGTTTTTATTAAAAAATGTTCAAAAATATATGATATAATATGTATATATCACTTTTAAATAAAAATAAGTAACAGTATTTGAAGAAAAAGAAATTATTTCTATTAAATTGTTTATATAATAAATACAACTTATGTAGAACATTATAACTGATAGTGTAAAAAGTAGTTAAATATGATAATAACATTTAAATTCTTAATTTAGTTTCTATATACCTTTTAACATTATGGCTTATATAAATTTTAGTTCTTGATGATATCAATAGTTCTAAATTTAAAAAAGTTCTTGATGATATCAATATATAGCATTCAAAACAGATATATAAGACGCTGATGCTTTCATGATCTAAAAAAATAGAAATTATAAAAAATTATATAAAAGTGTTTTAGAAAATGTTGACGATAAGCAAAATAAAAGGTGCCTAAATGATTTAAAAAATTACATTCGTAAAAGTATCAAAAGACATATCTATCATTTTTCCTGCTGTGATCGTCAGTCGCTTCTGAGACCTCATTATTATAAATATTATAATTTTTTCTGTATTTAATGGCATATTGTACCACAATGTTTCATACGTTGCATTTGCAATTAATTTGCTCTGAAAAAATAATACAAATAATTTCAAATTGATTGGCTCTTTTATTCAACTTATTTGACAGAAAAACATTTTTCTATATTATTGCGACGCGTTACAACAATATTTGTTATAACAATATTAAAATTCTTCATAAATTTTTTTATATTATTAAAATTATAGAAGGTCTTCTTTTATTATAACAAAAAATTTATTGATAAACAGATCGTATTACAATTTCAGTAACTTTTTATTATAAAAAAATAAATCATTATTTATAATACTACAATATATTATAAAGAAATATTTTTTTATTATAAATAAATATTTTTTTTAAATAAAAAAGTATTATTTACAAGTTTTATTTTCTTAAATGACATTATATACGTATTGCAACACATTAAAATGTTTTTATTAGAAAACAATATTGTACATCTTTATTATAAAAATAACACAATTATATTGTAAAAGAATAATAATAAAATATTTTTGATTAACAATATTTTTGGACACGCACCTTAAGACTAAGATGTTCTCCAGCAAAGCAAATGATAAAGGCTTCAATTGTTATGACGCAATAAGCAAAAAGGGTTTTCACTAATACGAAAACACTAACTTCATTATGTATAGACTAGTTTGACAAATAATAAAAAGATAAAAAATATATACAATTCCAATAATCATATATTTATTAGTATACTTACCACTATGAAGACAAATCCTATACTGCAAATGACTAATGTATTCCACACAACTTGCATCAATGCGATGAAGGAGAAGAGTTGTTCAATGTTCTTGGAAAATGAAATTATTTTATTATGCCTCTCAATTAACATTCCGAATGAAGGTACAAAGGACCCATAGAGAAGAGTGTTTTTGGAAATATTTTTAAACTCTTGACATATTATATCAATTTGTCCGCTTGCGTGTAGAACCTAAAATATACTTCAATTTTTAAAAAAATTACAGTCATTACATATAAGAAAATTGTACCATAAAAAATGTATATAAATATTTCAAATATATAGATATAAGATATCTTTATATGTTATATTTTTAATAAAATTCTTTTAAAATGTTTGTATAATGGCATTTTACTTTCAAATTTTTTATAAACCTAAATGGCATAATCCACATATGATTAAAATCAACAAATTAAAAATAAAAAATTTATTATAACAGATTTTGCTGTTATAACATTGCGTCATAAATTACTTTGACATTAAAACACAAACAAATAGAAAACACAGGCAAATATATATAAAATATGAATTACTAAATATATATAAAATATATATAAAATATGAATTACCAAAGTAAAGATCAATCCATTTAGAATAGCGACCGTGCATACGTGTAACATTACATGTAAAAATATTGTTATAGCAAGAAGTTCAAACATCGGCGACTGTTGAGTTTCAAAAGGAAATTGCAACTTTAAAGGAAGCTGTCTTGAAGTATCATTATAATCTTCGATTAAAAATACGAAACGAATTGCATATTCGCCTAAGAAGTAAAGTGCAGCAACAATAGCAGTAAAGCTCAATAAAGTATTAGATATAAAATGCGATATATTCGCTTTGATTGTCATTATATATAAATGATGATTGATATTGATGCACTCACGCCAATCATTATCCATAGTAGCAAGAATTTTATGAAGATCTCTATAATATTTTATTTATTTCATCAAATGTTTTATATAAAAACATTACATTTGCGAGGAATCATTGATATTATATGCATTAATATTTTAAACATTTTGATTGTATTATGCAACTTTATATTAAAAAGTATCGCATTCGAAATATATACAATATTAAAATACCAAGAAAAAATTTCATTTTTTTAACATAATAGTTAAGCAAAATTATACTATTTTGCTGTATAATAACAAATACCGTGTTGTCCAATTTCAAATAACTTAACGATCATGTAGCGTGGCTCATTAATAACCAATGATGTCTTTTTTGCATTTATATTTGTTAAATAATATATATAGTAATGATTTCAAAAATTACAAAAATTATCGTTATAATAATATTATAACATATATTATAATAATATGTATAATATACATTATATATATATATATATACAATATAATGTATACATATATAATGTACATAATGTATATATAATAAAAGGAAAATATAACATATCAATATTAGATAAATTATAACTTAGTATTCATGTATATGAAAAATTATCATATAATTATGTTTTATAGCCAAAATATCAAATTGCCTGAACAAAAAGTCCAGCATGAATCACCAGTAATTCCTTTTAATATAATATCTTACCGACGTTGTATCCACAGGCTTGTTAATTTAAAAATTGTCAAACTATAGTCAAGAGTCATAGGCAGTTCATCAACAAGATTTGGCAGCTCGCTCATACTCAAATGTTCAAATATGTATAAATATTGGAAGTACTGCATGATCAACATACTCGACATAAAACTGAACCAATAAGTAGTAGAATATGGCCATATGCCGAGAAGTCGAAGGCCAATTTTCACCGTCGGGCTGACAGTACTCATGATTCGCCTTCGCCTACACTTTTTAAACTTAAGAAAATGGAGATCAATATAGACACATCCGATATGCTCATTTGAGGAGAAACTGAGAGTATACCATCCATTTTATCCCCACACAATGCATCCCCACTTATAATCAGAAGAACACGGATCAATCGCTATTATATGTCACATAGTACGACGATATAATGAGACACTACTTATTATTTATAACAACATCCTATAATTTCATTAGCGATCTAATAACGTTTTCCGATCGTAATATTATACTGCTAATGCAAAAAACAAAGATATGTTCGTAAAGTAAGAAAAAACCATTTTCTAAGAGGTATAAGTTTCTTTTTTTGCTTACTTGTTTCTGTGGCAACAATATATCATCAACAAAAAACAAATGTCTGCGTTTCCTGTCAATTGCGATAATCATTAAAAGTATCATAATATATGATTGTAATTATACATAATTCTAAACAGAAGTGGATTGTAATTATGCGATTCAACCTTTAATCCTTGAAAAAGTAAGGTAAGGGGAAAAATAAAGAAACTCTACGGGAATATAATAATTGAGTAATTTTCTTTAGTTCTAGGAATGTATTTATAAACTATATCAAGAACTCGCTTAAAAAAAAATAAAAAATCAAAAGTAAAAAAATTTTGGGAATAACAATATACAATATTATAAACGGTTAACTGCAGTACAAACAACGAAATGTGCACAAATGGAACATACAATCATATGATTAAGATTAAGAGACAATGCCCAAAATGCCACTAAGATACATACATAGATATATAAATTGCTTGTATATTAGATGCTCTTTTAGTTTTTGAAATTTATTAATTGACAGTTAATGAATAATAATTAATTTTGTTAATAACAATAAAATCTTTAATTTATTGTAATAATTAATTTATATTTTATAACTTATTTGTTTTCATTATTTAAGTTATAATTCCAGTTACTGGCGCGTGCTCTCAACTATATGCATATACATATAAGATTATTTGCATTTACATTAATAATGTTTCTATTAAATGTAATGTAAATTTTTATATTTTTATATTTTTAAATTTTTATATTTTTTTTTATATTAACTAATCGTTAACAGTGAGTTTAATATGACTATTTAACGATCTAATTCCCTAAGTAGAACAATAAATCACGATAACAAAATGACATATATAAAAATAAATCGTAAATGATTGCATTTTTATTAATATCAATACATAGCGATTAAAACGGATACATACGATGCTGACGCCTTCATAATCTAAAAAATTCAAGTTTAAAAATTAAATTTGATTATCTAAATTATATTTACTTATAACGGAAACACATAGCAGCAGATTCTAAAATTAATTTATAAATAAATTAAAATTAATTATTAGACATCAAAAAAATTGAAAAGATTACATTTGTAAAAGTTTCGAATGACATATCCATCATTTTTCCTGCCGTAATCGCCAGTCGTTTTTGCGATCTCATTATTATAAACACTATAATTTTACTGTAATTTGACGGCATATCATACCATAGCATTTCATATGTTGCACTGGCAATTAATTTGCTCTAAAAATGATACATAAATAGCAAATCTTTTTGTGATTATTTTTATCTGTTAAATTCGACTCAAAAATATTTTTCTATTCACATTGTGAAAATGTAGGCCTATAGTCGATTCTTATTTTAAAACTATCTTAAAAAATATCTTAAGATTCTTATACGGCTCTGTAATTAATTAATGACAATTATAACAATTAATTATGACATACATTACATTTAATTATGACATTCATGACAATTTAATAATTTACGTATTCTTTCTCGCGCTGACTCTCAATAGCCTTTATTTTCTTTGTTTGTTATTATTTTAAAGATTGAGAGTCCTTTCATTATATTATTTCTAATTTATGACTGTACTTAAGATAGTTTTAAACTAGAAACCACAGCCTTTGTAGCGAAAATATCAGAAATTCTTAATTAATTCTATATTTACTTTTATTTGTAAAGTATAGAAACTTTATAATAAATAATTACTTGACGAACATTAATAAATCAGTACTTCATAAATATTTATACAATTTTAGATAACTTCTACTACAAATTTTAATATAAAATATTTTGTCAATGTTTTTTATAAAAAATATTATATATGTAGAGAAAATAAATCTTTTTTAAAAAAAAACGTGTTGTTTTATTAAAGAAATTAATTATTAAAGAAAATAATATTTTATGTATTTCTCTCATCAAAGTATTTTTATTAAAAGATAATGTTATTATAAATTAGAAAGATAATGTATTATTATTATTATATTATTAATTAATTTTTATTATTATATTATTATTACCTACGTTGTGTTTCAAAAATTGTACATTTACAGGTAATTACTCTTGCTCACCTTGTGGGTAAGATATTCTCCAGCAAAGCAAATAATAAAGGGTTCCATCGTTATGGCAAAATAAGCAAAAACGGTTTTCATTAATGCGAAAATACCAGTTTCATTATGAATAGACTATATCAATAAATGGAAATGAATAAAATATATGACGTCTATCATAACATTGTATACATTTATAGTACTTACAATTATGAAGAGACATCCTAGACAGCAAATTACTAAGGTATTCCAAACAACTTGCATTAATGCGATAAAAGAGAATAGTCGTTCCATGTTCTCGGAAAAAGAAATGACTCTTTTGTGTCTCTCGACCAGCATTCCCAATGATGATATGGAAGATCCATAACAAAAAGTATTCTTAGAAATATTTTTAAATTCTTGACAAATGATATCAATTTGCCCACTTACATGGAGCGCCTAAAATATACTTAAATTTTTGCAAAAATTACAATTATTGCATATAAAAAAATTTTTTGTTATCTTAAATGTTTCTAGATTTAATTTAAAGATTTAATAAGTACAATAATCTTACATAATATATTTAATTTATATAATTTAATCGCAAAGTATTTTTAATACTGACATTAATTATATTTTGAAGTTTGAAATGTAGCATGTATTTTTGTACTATGTCACATAACAAAATTCTACAAATTGCTACATGAGAAATGTAAGCATTATACTACAACAGCGTTATACTTATAAGTATAATTTTTTTGTATAAATGGCTGTTATATAAAAATTAATAAAAATTGAAAACAAATATACAATATAAGTTACCAAAGTAAAGACCAATCCATTTACAATAGTATTTGTCCATACTTGTAATAACGTATGT